GTACTAAGGAACAATAACATGATACACTGGTATTCTTTGGGATTTCTATCCCATCTAATTTTTTAATTATATAATTTAATTATTTTTGAAGTTGGCATACCATAAAGCAGGTAGTCTTGGGTGCTAGAGACTTATTTAAGGGGGAAAAAATAGTGCTTTGTTTGAAAATGTGCCTAACTGCTCAGAAAAGAGATCAACAAATGTTAGGATGACAAAAAAAGAACCTAAAGGGTTAAAGTGTAAATGGTATTTTGACTAGTTGTGTCTCCCATAGCAACTATTTTGCCAAAAGTAGGAGTCTTTATAGTTTCCATTTGGAGTTGATGTTTGCTATACCAGCTCAAAATTTCCAAAGCTTCAAAAGAAGCAGAATCAGTAGCAAACCTTGTTAGTGAATTAGTTTCAGCATAGCAAAATCCTCTTAAAAGAACTAGAAATGTCTAAGTCAATTCTAAACCTACAAGAAGTATGAATTGTACATTTATCATTGCTACACATTATGATGATTCCCTTACCATCCGTTTCATGTTGCTAGCTGGTGGGTCCACACTGGATCGGAATCTATTATGCATTCTGACACATTCTTCCATGAATTGTGAATTTTCAATATCCGGTAAGGTATGTTGGGTATAAAAACAACAGCACACTTGTAGTTTCAGGAACAATAAAACACCAAAGATCAGGCTTTTTTCTGTCATTCTGGACTGCTACACAATGAGCCAAAATATTTAAAACATAAGCCAAGTTGTAAACAAAGTCCCTTAGGCTATTCTGTTTGACAACTTCTACTTGGCTTTTATTTTATCTTCTTTGGTTCCGCTGCTAACGATTAGAGGCACCCGGAAATGAATTGAGCAAATACCTTCAAGGCAGAGCCTAGTGATGAGTCACTTTCACCCACTGAATTGCTCCTTTTCTTACACTCTCTTGTATGTAAATCTTAAGTAGTGAAGGAACATAAAGTGTCCTTTGATTTATTTTGGCAAGTGGACTAATTTTAAAATATTCACTGCTGTTTTTTATGGTTTGCATTAAGTGTTGAAATCCAAACTTAAAATTAAATGTCAGGAACTTCAATGATTTAAGAAGCCAGATTTTATCAGTAGAACAAAACAAAACAAAACGAATAAATAACATTACATACATAAATACAATAATTGTCCTGTATTTCTACCAATTGTAATGAATCAGTTTTTGCCATACTGGGACCATGGAGATTTTCTACATTTGCCAAAGTAGGTTTAAAAGTTATATAGTAGCTGGAAAAAATTGCATTAACAGTCAGAAAATAAGTAAACAGAAAAGATAATGAAACACACAGAGAGACACACACAAAAGGAGAGTTGTTTGACCAATGAATTAATTGTTGTTTGCTATTTAACCAAATCCTGGTCAATTCTAGCCTAAAACCATTTAATTTAGAATGGTATCTGCTCATAACAAAATATCTACTGGGTTGTAGACATATTTTTTCCTCCAAGTATATAAACAATATATTATCAAAATAAAAAAAATTACTGAATTTCTATTTTTCAATTTATCCTGAAAAAAAAAAATATTCTTTTTCTTCAGATTTTTTCCACATTTGTTTTTTTCTTGGCTTGCTCAGAATGCCTGTCAAAAAAGCTGCCCAATGAAGTTAGGTTTACTTCTTTGCTATCCCATGGTTTGGGATAAGTATGTTTCTATCAGATGTATTATAAAAATCACACAGCACTGTATTTAGGTGACAATGTTCTTTATTCAGATGTAATATCTTGGTTGCTGGTTCAATTACCATATTACTGTTTCCATGTTCACTGATTGCTTCCAGATCAAACTGATACTGAAGAGGCTATTAAATGACCTTAAACAGCATTCATGAATTTCCCCAGTGAGATTTTTTGTTTGAATCAAGAGTTTTAACTGTTGCTATATTATGTTTATTTCTTTACAATAAATAGAGCAGATAAAGTTTTTAAAGTTATTAAGAAAACAGAAATTGATTAGGGGCCATTCAGAGAGTCTATTCATAAAGCAATTATGCTTCTCATTACCCTACATTACCTACATTATCCTGGGGTCATCTTTTGTAAACTTCTGAGAAGCAGAATCAATGGGGAAGCCAAATTCAGTTAACAAACATGGCAAGAAAGGTCATAAAATGGGGCAAAACTTAACAACTGTCTTGCTTAGCAACAGAAATTTTGGGCTCAATTGTACTCATAGGTTAAAGACTAACTGTAATAGCAAGAAATATAGTAATCAGTTTTAGAATTGACAGTGAGAATATTAAAATAGTTTTGAAGTTTGGTACTAGACACGTTTCCCAGGAATACTATGAATAGCCCCCCCCCAAAAGGGGGGGGGAAGGTGATCATAAGTCCTCATTTGAGGCATAAATGAGCAGGCTCACATTATATAAAGACCCATCTCCTTTCAGAAGTCCATGATGCTGGGATGAATGGAAGAAAAAAAAAGAATGAACAGCAGTTAAATAAATGGAACGGATTTGAATGGCAATGGGTGCACTGTTGATAGACTTAAAAAGCCAGGTTGGGATCAAATCATCCTGAAAAAGGCCCTTTTATTTGGTTGTAAGAATAAATACAAATGTGATGCACACAATCTATCAAATATTCAATCGGGCAAATATTCATTATGCATCATTGTATAGAACTTCCAGCTGCTACCACATCTCCTTCATATGAAGGTACCAACTTCTCAAGTTTGTTATTCTACTGAAAAATAAGAACAAAAATTGCAGTCTGATACCAGAGGTCCTGTCTTCTTACTCCACTCCATATGGAAAAAAAATAAATTGTTTACATCTCCTCCACCTATATCTTTTTGCATGTTTTTACTTGATCATATGCCAACCCTCTCAATTCTAGTGAGGAGCTTTGAAAAAGGTCTTTCATCTTTGTCCTTGAAATATCTTAACCCTAGAAACCATAAACAAGAGTTCTTGCAAATGGGGAAATAGACTACCTGCAAATTCCAATATTTTATTTCTCAGCTTATTTCCTGAATACAGCTGAGACCATGAAATACCATCAATTCAAAGTCCCTTTGGAAATACTTGGAAGGATATAAACTGGAAAATTGAAGCTACAAACATACTAGGCAAACAGCAGCGCTACCGCATTCCTTTTGATGTATATTCCCCATAGTGTGCCTGCTTACTCTCTTGTAATTCCTTCTTCTCCAATGAGTGTAAAAATAAGTATTAATTCCTTTATTGGTAATTATCACAGCTAGGAATGAGCATTCCAAAAAGTGATGGAGTAGGAAAAAGAAAAGCTGAAATAAAATCATAAGCACAGTAATGGTCACATTATCTTTTACTTAATAATTGTATCATTTAGTAACTAAGTTGCTGGTCCTAATTGTGGTCGCTAAACAAGGCTATCTGTACTCCATAGCTCATGGCATCTGTGTGTTCTCTGATCAAATGTTAATTTTTCACACTTTATCCTAGCTTTCTACAGTTTTTGTTTGATGTTTCAGCTTCTTTAAAAAAATAGCCATAGATATTTTTATTTACTGGTACTAACCATATAATCAAGATAGAACTGCTTTATTGAAGATGGATAATTTTATTGTAAATGACCCAGAGAATTTTGACTGTTAGGATGTTATTACTCTTCCCTTTTAATTCATTGTGGTCAGCCAGAATAGAGGTTGTATATATATAGGGAAAACATGGTAAAATCATTATACAAAAAATGCAAGCCTGTTTTCTATCAAATATTTTGGATTGCATTATAGAAACAGACCATAATTTAGACTGATATTTAACAAACTGAGAAATCAGCCAAATTTCATCTTTAGCATTATAGACCTTACATGCCAACTGCACTATTTGCAATAATTTCAGTTAGTATAGACTATATGTAATGAGAGGATAGGGAACCACATTCTAGTTGTGGTGTCAACGCTGCAAATATTGTATATTCTTGCTTTTGACAATATGTAGAATTGTCTGGTAATTATGGGGTTAATACAGAGCAGAAGGGGGGTTGGGGGTAAAGCCCAGAAAGAAAGAGGAAGAAAACATTTGACCTTCACACTAATTGGATAATGTGAGATATGACGGGTAATTTAGGGAGGGAACATGCTGATAATTTAACTGCTCAGAGGAAGAGAACTTAGGTCCTAGCATCCCTCCGTTGTGCCTGTGCCGACATTTTGTAACAATAAAAGACTTTTAGGAAAATAAATGCCTGGAAGTTCTTTGGAATGTTTCATTAGCCGGAACCACAATGGTGTGGTATGAATAGGAGCAACAAATGTATGTGCATATGGTATGCAGAGTATAATTCAGAATGCTAATACTGTTTTTATCAAACTTTTCGTCAATATGATGAGGAGCTTTATTAGTACGGTACAGTAATACAGTACTGTATTAGTACAGTAATCTAGAGCCATGGTGGCAAAGAGGTTAGCATGTAGTATTACAGGCTAGTTCTGCTGACTGCCAGGAATTCGATCCTCACTGGCTCAAGGTTCACTTAGCCTTCCATCCTTTTGAGGTCAGTAAAATGAGAACCCAGATTGTTAGGGGCAATTGCTGACTCTGTAAAATGCTTAGAGAGTGCTGTAAAGCAGGGGTCCCCAACCTCCGGTCCGTGAACCAATACCAGTCTGTGGCATGCTAGCAACCGGTCCGCACAAACAAGCAAAGCCCCATCCGTGGGATGCAAGCAGCACACAAATCTACACACTCTCCAGTCCACGGAAAAACCTTTCTCCATGGAACCAGTCCCTGGTGCCCAAAAGGTTGGGGACCTCTGCTGTAAACCATATGAAGCAGTATATAAGGCTAAGTACTATTGCTATTGTTAAATTACTGCGTCCTGACCATACGCCTTTGCTAGATCTAAATGCAGTGCTGGAGCAACCATGAGCCATACAATTGTGTCCTAGTCAATAATCATATATAAGTGCCTTCTGAACATGACTGCTGTGCAATCATACATAGTTGAGTTAAACGGAGTTTAACATATACAGAAGGTATGTGCAATTTATCATATTAATATTTATTAATCACAACTCCCTTATTTTAATGTTTACAAAACATGGAACATATTAAATACATTTTGTTTTATATTAGTATCATCTGAACAAAAAAGGAACTTTATTAGTACAGTAATACAGTACTGTATTAGTACAGTAACCAAAATTAAAAAACATTAAGAATTTGTTTGACAAAATTCCATAAAAACAATGAATTGAACCAAATCTATTTTTAAAAGATAGAACAGGAAAATAATGTAACAATTCATGTAAATATAATCTTATAATTAACAAAAGTAGTCAAAGAAAGTTTTATGCATACAAAATACTGAAGATTATTTAGAAAAATTTAAACCTGGATAACAGATTTGTAAGTAATAAACAACAGCAAATGCCAAAAACATTAACAATGGTCTTAAAACTGCAACAGCAATGCAAGATGGATCACATATAATCCGCCTTTCAAATGGTGGATACCATCGTGAATAACCTAGGTTAAAAAAACAAGAGAGGGAATGTAATGATCTTCTTTTAAAAGTAAGTTTAAAATATAAAAGGCAATTGTAATACATACGAATGCTGTTTTCTTTCTCACGTTCAGGATTTCCTGTTTTTAAAAACAAACAAGGTTCAGACAAGTCAGTTAAAGCTTTTAGAATATTTTCTCTTGATAAACATTTTCATTTCTTATACAATAAATACATTAATTAGCAATAGCTGTGATGCCACATTAAGCAGAACTATCAAATTGATTATAATGGAATGTTTACTCCTATTTCTATGATACTCATTTTTCTCCTTTTTCTCCCAAAAGGAGAAAAAAATACCACTGCTCTACCAAAACAAAATCTGAAAAGACTGAAAATCAAAATAATTTTAATGAACTGTAATATGATCATTTTTTTTCCTCCTGGAACTACTATTTATTCAGATTTGTACTCACTACAGAGGTTGTCTTTACAAGTGTCTCCTTCTGGACAGTTATTGCATGGTTTTCCCTCTTTATAAGGGCGTACTCCACGGTAATTGCCTCTAAAAAACAGTGGATGAATATATTCTTAATCATACCAAATATTTTTAAGTAGACAAAAACTAAACTGAAAATTCAGCTGAAAATGTCAATGACCTTACCTGAAGATACCAAGTCAAAATGTTGTGCAAAATCTTGATACTTCTTACAGAATTTCAATTATCTCTTGTGGTAACAATGCTAACATCTCATAATCCTTGAAAATAATCTGATTTTTTTATTATTAAAAAAATAACAATTAAGTGACTCCATGTTTAATGTTTTTCGGAATAACAGATGCACTTATGCCCAGGTGTCCCCAAAGTGCTTTTTCAATAGGCAACTGGACTTTAGTTTTCTTTGAAGATGTTTTGCTTCTCATCAAGAAGCTTCTTCATCTCTGACTGGATGATAGGAATGGATGGATTTATATTCTTTGCAGACATCTGGTCATTTGCATTCTTTTAGTCATTGAGGTCACTTGGAGGTTTATCTGTGTCCTCAGTGTCACCTGAGTAGTGCAAATGGGTTTGGAGCCTTCTTAGAACTGCTGAAAGGACTGTTTTGTAGACTTGAGATCGATGTCGTATCCCTCCCCCTCTGTTGAGGGCTGTTCACTTTTGACATAGATTGCCTCTTTGATCTCTCCTTCAAACCAGCAGTCCTCTCTGTCCAAAACGTGGACTTTGCTAACTTCAAAAGAGTGGCCTTTGTTTTTTAAATGCAGATAGACTGCTGAATCTTGTCCTGATATAAATCCTTCCATTCCCCACCATCCAGTCAAAGCTGAAGCAGCTTTTTGGATGAGAAGCGAAACGTCTTCAAAGAAAAATAAGGAAGTCCACTTGCCTTTTGAAAAAGCGCCTTTGGGACAACCATGACCTGGATGGCTGAGCAGCTCCAACACATAACCTAAATTTGAAATTGTGCAAGTCCCTTTATTGTATATTAAAAAAATAATCATGCAGAACTTTTCCTACGAGTACATAGTTCTTGCTGTACTCAGTGCAACATATGAATTAGAGAATGGCTCCTATAATACCACTGCTCCACAAGCTGCATTGGTTACCAGTCTGCTTCCGGGTGCAATTCAAAATGTTGGTGATCACCTTTAAAGTCCTTCATGGCATAGGTCCAGGTTGCTTGAGGAATTGTCTCACCTCACTAAGATTGGCCTGTACCACTCATGCCGGCAGAGGAGGCATGCTGTGGGTCAGCCCAATTATTCCAGCTGGCAGGAGGGCCTTCTCTGCTGTTGCTCCTGCCCTCTGGAACATCTTGCCCCCCCCCGATGTGAGTTGGGCCCCAACCCTCCTATCTTTTCTTAAGAGCCTAGACGTGGCTGTGCCAGTCAGCTTGAGGGAAGTGGTTGATTAATAACAGATCCCACCCATCCCCCACTCTGCCCCCACCCTCCCCATGTGTTTTTGATTTTAAGTTTGATTTTAACCTTTTATGTGTTAACTTAGATGTAATGTAAGCTGCCCAGTTACCCTATGATAAGATGGGTACCCAATAAATAAAAAAAGATAGATAGACCGACCGACCCACCTCAAGAGTAGTAATCCTAAAATAATAGATGCATTCTATCCTGCTATTCTGTCAGCAATGAAAATAAAGTATGTCCAGGTTTGCAAATATTTATATCTCATAATTTTGTGTAATGGAAGAAAAAGTAACAATAAATCAGAAGCACAAATCAAAGTGCATATATTTATGTATGTATGTATATATATATGCCCATGTGTGTGTGGGTATATGAGTTAATAGCTTCACATGAAAATTAATCAGAATGAATTCTAGGTGTTTTTATTCTTCACAAAAGTTAAAACATCTTTTAAAAGAATCTATATCGGGATTAAATGTATTTCAATTGTGTTAGTACCACATTGTCACATGGGACAATTCATGTGATAGAGGACTCACCACTGTCTTGTCTTTAAGCAAAAGAAAGCCATGATTGCGAATTATTTCATTTGGATTCTTGTACTAAATAGGAGTCAATCTAACATGTTCTGAAATATACTCCCTCCCTCCACCAGAAATATGACAATGTTACAGACTCTGCTCTTCGTAGTTCTCCTCCCATGACCTCCACTATTCCACAGAAGTGCCCATTAGTAATAGAAGTTGAAAGCCAAAAATATCTAGTTTTTCAAATTTCTCTGCCTCTTTGACTAAGATTGAAAAGCATAATAAATGACCTGAGTTGGGGTAGCATTCACTTTGTTCTTCTGCTCTCCAATTTCCATAATCTTCCTACCTTTGCAATCTTATAGCTCATCCTTTTCTTCACAACAGGCTCCCTGATGCTCTCCTTTTTTGTGCTGCACAATGTCCAGGGGGAAGGTTGGAAAGTTTAATCTCTTTATTTCATAAACCAAGACCTCATCTATTCTATTCCCAGCTGATTCTTTCCATGGCTTAAAACAGGGGTCCCCAACCTTTCTGGGTTGGCGGCCCGGGGCAGAGGTGTTGTTGTTGAGGGACCTTTACATGCACTAATGGCCTGCGATTGCGAGCATGACGCAAACAGGGCCACAAGCACCTGAGCGACGCTAGCCATGATGCCATGATGCTAGTGCGAGTGGGAGGAGTGTGCACTTGCAGCAACGCTAAGGTCTGCACGATGCTCGTGATATCACTAACTCTGGCACAATCCGTGATGTTAGCATGAACGGGAGGTGCACTTGTGGCGATGCTAGTACCTGCGTGATGCTGCAATGCTGGCATGAGTGGGGGTGTGTGCAAGTATGCACACACGCATGCACTAGCCAGCCACTCACCCGGCACAGTGGCCAATAGCCCATGGCCCAAACAATTTTCAGTGGAGAGATGTAAATTGTGATGGAGATGTAAATATATTTAACTGTACTTGTTCACTCCATCAAATGCCTGGTGGGCAAATTGGATAAGATTATTTGCATATCTTCTTCCACCATCAAAACTGCATATTTTCCTCCTCCTTGGAACAATTGAAAATAGCACCAGCTAGGCAAAAATGTGATCAATAGAAAATATGACAGGATCAAATCTAGTTTTATAATTTATAAAATAGGAACTTTTCTTTTTTTAACAGTACGAAAAGGTTTACAGAATAAAATTGCAAAACAATTCAAGTAAATTTTGGAGTTAAAAAAATACTAATGACATTTATCTTGCCACCTTTTTCCAGAACATAAATTTATTTATGAGATACATGAAGCTGCCTAACAGTATACAGTATTCAGAGTAAATAAAGAAAAAGTTTTTTCAACTAATTCACAGAACTAGGAGATTTACTTTTAATTTTTACATACAAGTAGTCCTTGACTTATAACTAGAATTGGAACCAGAATTTCTCAATGGTTAAATGAGTTATCATGTGACTGGACCTGATTTTACACCTATTTTTCATTAAGTGAATCACCACATCATTAAGTGAATCCAGCTTTCCCTACTGATTTTGTCAGAAGCTGGTTGGGAAGGTCACAAATCACAATCACGTGACCCTGCAACCATCATAAATGCAAACTGATTGTCAAGTGACCAAATTGCAGTCACATGACTTGGGGATGATGCAACGTTACAATGACGGTTCATAAATAAGTTTTTTCAGCACCTCAGTAACTTTAAACTGCCATTAAACAAATGGTCCTAGGGGTTACCTGTGCTAGCAATTGGGTTCTTCTATATAAAATATAATATGTATTCTACCATTGACATGTGGCCTCTAACAAAGAGATTACATTTACTTATACATTTATATAAAGTTAAGATGTAGCTTTGAGAACTATATACTACTAAAAATCTAATTGTCGTGACCGTTAACTGGATGAAACATTATATCATAGAGGAAGGTACCTCAAATGGGCTAACTTACAGAATACATCCAAGGTATGGTTGTATTACTTCCTCCCAAAGGAAGGCTGTTGTGCAGATGAACTGCTACTGCAGTCACATGACCTTCATTTCCAACATTCTGTGAATTTCCCAGCCAGTCTTGCAATCCTTTGCTCCCTTCACCACCCAGCACCAGCATTTACCTGTCTGTTGAAAAGGTAAGAAAAGGAAGGAAGGAAGGAAGGAAGGAAGGAAGGAAGGAAGGAAGGAAGGAAGGAAGTTCCACATAGTGCCCATACTGCACCCAGTGCATTCCTTTCTGTGCTGCCACTTTGTGCCTTGCTTGACCTGCACTGCCCTCCATGTGGCTTCCTTGACACATCTAGCATCTCTTGAGGGATGGGAAAAGGAATGGTGAAAGAGAGGGAGGGAAGGGGGGAAAAAGGAAAAGAGGCAGGAAATTGCTCCAACCATTTTTGCCCTCCTCCCCATTCTTTCATGGATTGCCTAGTAACTAAATATATTTCTAGTCATGTTCTTGCATGGTTTGAAAATTTTCTATGTAGTTTCCTTGTAACTCACCAGCTGATTTTTTTTATAAAGTTAATAAAAATGTATGTCAAATTATAACATTTAAAGTTGTTACAGACAGCAAACTAATTGAAAAGAAATTGTTTAAAATAATATATGTAAATGCATGAACACAATTTCAGATTTCTTTAATATGTGTTAACTTACGCTGGAGCATAATTGCACACTAAAATGTTATTATTTTTTTCTTTTCCATCCATGTAACGGCAGTAAACAACAGCACAGCCAACTTTGTATGAAGCAGCCCAAACTACCTGAAAAAGGAAGAACACGTTTTGAATGTCAGTTTCTCTCCAATCTTTCTGTTTTGATCTGCATTTGGCCAATATTTATTTTTCACATTCTAAACCACCCATCTTCCTCAAAGAGGGAGTTAATTACGTTAAAATTTGCCTAAAACAAAATACAGGTAGTCTTCAATTTACAACCACAATTGAGTGCAAAATATATGTTTATTAGGTGAGTTTTGCTCCATTTTAAAATCTTTCTTGCCACAATTGTTAATCATTGCAATTGTTAAGCTAGTAACATGGTTGTTAAGTGAATATGGCTTCTCCATTGACTTTGCTTGTCAGAAGGCTGCAAAAGCTGATCACATGACCCTGGGACACTGCAACTGTCATAAATATGAGTCAGTTGCCATGTATCCGTATTTTGATCATGTAACTTTGGGGATGTTGTAACAATCATACGTTCGAAAAATGGTCATGTCACTTTTTTCCGTATCATCGTACCTTTGAACAATCACTAAATGAACCTTTTTAAGTTGAGGACTACCTGTACTTTGTTTTGAGATTGAAACAAAACGGTCCTTCTTTAAGTGTTAACATCAAAATATTTCAGTCAGGCTGTATTCCACTTGAACTGCCCCCCCCCCCGCTCCTGTTTGGCCTGCTGGGTTCCATTCTTGGGCTGGTGATAAGAATATATGAGATTTTAATCTGCCACCTAGTTGTGTAAAGTCTGGAATAGTGCCATGAATTTGTTTCTGATGGCCCAACACATACCAGGGGTTGCATGTCAGATGTTTTTTTAAATTATGTCTTGAGAAACTTGTAACTGATGTGGTAGCAAAGAACATTAACACCAATCCATTGCCATTGACAAACCACTTTGTTTACTTTGTCTTATTGGTGCCACATTTACTATAGGGAGACAAGATCTATTCAATCAAAATGTTCCAAGCAATTGATGAATGCTATATGGTTCCAAATGCTTGAGGGTTTTCCAAAGATGTATACCAGGCAGCTCAGCTGAGGTCTTGGCTCAGGATTCTTTGTGCTCTTAGTTTAGCCACCCATGTGCTGCATTTGGGTCCTTCCCACATTGTCAAAGCAGCCAAGGAGATGATCTGTAACTGGGTCCATGCTATGATGCCTCACTGTTTGTAGGAGAGATAGTACGCAGTATGCCTGCCAGAATCAAAACCAATTTGTTTCCAACCTTCCCTTTTGGTCAGACTATAGCTGCAGTCCAGGAACTCCAGAACTCTGGAGAAAATGGATTATCTAGACCCGTTTGAGTTGGGTTTCAGGCCAGGATTTGATAAGAAACTGCCTTGATTGTGTTTGTAGACCACTGGCAAATCTGCAATGGGAGTGGTGCATCCATTCTTCTTCTCCTTGATTTCTCAGAGGCGTTTGATACCATCGACCATGGTACCCTTCTGGACTGGCTCCAAATATTGCAAAGGGGTGGCACTATTTTGCAGTTATTCTCTTGTTTTCTTCAGGGACAATTCTGTTGATGCTGTTTGGGGAGAAAGGTCATTTTCTAGGCCAGTGGTGGCGAACCTATGGCACAAGTGTCACAGGCAGCACTCAGGGCCCTCTCTCTGGGCACTTGTGCCATCGCTCCAGTCCTACCTCTCCCCATGGCCCCCTCCTCACCAGCAGCTCCCCCATAGGAGGGTTGCCCCTGAGCATAGCCCAGGAGGAGCAGCACAGTCAAGGACATGGCAGCCGGGCAGCGGGGACAAGACTCCGCCCTCGTGCCCCGTCGAATGCAGATGATACTGCGGGACACGGGCAGAGGGCATGACCGCCATGGCACTGTTGGGCTGCCTGGACAATCTATGGAGGCAGTGGGTAGCCCTGTGGGCGGGTGGGGCGGGGCAGAGCAGGAGTGGAGCGGGGGCAGGCAGGGCCATTTTTGGGGCACTCGTTCTCTAAAAGGTTCACCATTACTGTTCTAGGCCCTCTTCAATTAGGGTGCCACAAGGTTCAACTTTCTCTCTCTTTCTATTCAACATCAACATGAACCCACTGTGTGATATCCTACATCACTCTGAGGTTTAGCATCATCAGTGTGCTGATGATAACTAGAGAGAATAAAGACAATGACTTTGACAAAGATAAGGCTAAATCCGTTAGCCAAAGCCATGAGGAGACATGGCTTAAATCCAAAGCAATGTAATCTATGCACAAATAGCTAAAACAGACATAGCACAGCCAGACTTCCAAGATTCTGTTATTATAGCCAATCTCAATAAAAGGAGTTGTAGCCTTCCTGTGGAGTTGATTCTCGGTCTGGTTTACTTGACAATAAGCAATTATATCTGCTGACTGAGACTTTTTGATGTTTTGTTCCAGGATATAAAGGCATGTAGAATGCAGAAAATTCTCTGATTGAATCCTACCAAGAAGTGCTTATAGTTTCCAGGATACCTGGTTCTGAGTTATTTCTTCTCTGAACTTGGATGGGATTGCACTTCTCCATTCAAGGCTGGGATGAAATCTAGAGATCTTTAGAAAAGTCTCTGTTCAGCTTCATCTAGTGCAGCACTTGTAACCTTTCCTCAATTGGAAGGCCCTTCAGACAGCCACTCATGTCTTGACTATTGTACCATACTCAAAAGCAGCAGGTCCACAACTACAACAGTGTGAGCAGTTATGGATATGTCACATGACTATGTAACATCTCTGCTCCATAACTTGCACTGGATGCCAATTTGCTTCAAGGTACTGGTTATCACCTATTAAGTATTACATGGTATAGGACCTGATTTGAGGGACTGCCTATCTCCTGTGGTATCTGTCTGGCCAATTAAAACTAATAGTGTTGATGCACACTGGGATCCTTCAATTAAACAATGTCATCTATCTGATCCCAGGAAGCACCCTTCTCTGTTGCAGCACTTGCATTATGAAGTGAGATACTCAACTGAGATTTGGATGATTCCCTCCTTGTTGGTGTTCCAAAAAACCATACAGACTTGACTGTTCTCTTAAATCTTGATTAGTTGGTTGATCCCATCTTTGTTTACCATTTTGCTCATCTTTCTTTTTCTTTGTTAAGATCTGGTTCTATTGTTTGTTCTCTCTTAATATTGTTTTTATTTTGGAGGAATTATATTCAGCACAGAGTCATTTGGAGTTAGGTGGCATAAACAAATATTTACAGATGAAATTAATTTTTTTCCTTTTTTAATTTCTCAGTTGCCTTTTACCATTATTTGTTTGTAAATAAGCAATCTTACACAATAACTTCACATACTAAGCAGCTGTAATCAGTACTTCATAATTTACTATCACAATGAACTATGTGAACACAAAAGTACACATCTTACCTGGGTATAATGTCCACATACTTTGGTGCACTGATGGGTAGAGAAAGTGTAGTAGTTTACCTCATTGTGAAATGCTGTAATTGGACCCTTAGCATTAAATGGATTTCGGCTTGCACCTCCCAACCACATATTTTCTCCAGTTGGCTTAAATTTACGATCAGGATGGTACCTTTGATTAGGATTATGTTTCCAAACACATTTATTTGCCCATGCTCTAGCAATTCTAGCTAAAGCTAAATCAAATGTCTGCAAAGCATAAAATTATCAGTTAAGCTTTTAATCATATTTATCTCCCTCTAATAAATGCACAAATATCAAACTGAGACCCATCAAAATACTGATAAGAATTTCTATCATGTAGTTCATATAAAGCAAATTATTTTTTTATTAAAATCTGGAATTTTCCAGAAGATATAACATCTAAAACATTTTCAGAGATGATTCTTACTTACTTGTAATGTCTGTATAAAAAGTTGGTTTTGTATTTTTAAAACTATAACTATAGTTATAACTATAAAAATAAAATTTATAATATTAATATATGTGCAAGAAAAACATTATACATAATGCTTTGAATCACATGTGGATACTGATTACATATTGAAGTAGAATAGTCTCCAGTGAAGATTTAATAGGATGATTGTCCAACAAACTGTTGCAATGTAGATTGATTTTATAACTGATCAGCTATATCTTTTTCCAAGATATTCTTCTCAACTTTCTATTCTTACCCTACCTTTATGTTAATCAGAATTAACACAAAGTTTGCTTAATATGTGTGGATCTTCTGCACTTTTGCTTCCTCCAAGCTTTACCTTATACATCTAAAGAGATTAATGTAAGTACATTAAAACATGCAAGTGCACATCAAAGCAATATGGTTTCAAAATAAATTATCAGTTATCTTGATGGATCATAATCTGAATAAGAACCACCATGAGATGTTCAGGTAAAATATCTTTCTGCTTACCAGATGTGAAGAAAAAAATATTGTGAACTATCACCACCTAGTACTGTATATAAATCCAGAGTTACTGTATGTGGCACATGTTGGCAACTCCCATTTTTAAAGGAATAGAGAAAAAAGCTACCAGAACCAGGACAAGATCATCATAATTCCTCTAAGAAATTATTACTATGTTAGAAATTATTTTTGATTTTTCTTAGATCACACCCTTTCCTTCTGCCACAGGTTGCATATTCCAGACATAGTTTTTAAAAAATGCATTTCAATGTTACCAGTAGATATGTGGATTAGCAGAAAGAACAGTAATAATTATACAGATTAAGGAACAGAGTATTCCACGTGTTTTTAACTTCCTTTTTCTATGGCAGTAGTGGCAAACTTTAATGTGGGTTACATACAACTAACTACTAGCCTTAGTTCTGTTCATTATAGCTAGTTTTGGTATCCATTTGTGCACTGAGAGATTTCTTATTAGAGGTTATCTTTCAACTTTAAAAGATCCCTGCAATGGGCAGAAATAACTTGTCCTAAAATGAAAAGAAGGGAGCTATAAATAACTAGTATCAGCAAAATAAATGTTGCTGCAACATAATATAGAATACTCCCCCCCAGTGCAGAACTTATAAACTATTTCCTTTCTCATCTTCTGATTTATTAGATAAGTAACCAATCTTTTCAGGCTGAGACTGCTGATGGAGTCCAGCAGCCAGACTCAATGCTCACTTGAAAGTTAACATTCTGAGAGAATTGGGGAATGTTTCAAACTTCCAGCAACTTGTTTGCTTTGATGCTTAGCTATGTTTTTAATGACTTCACTTTTAAAAGTTAAATGCTTTTTACATGCTTCTAATGACTTAACTTTTAACTTCTAGATGTGGCTTAGGGATCACTGGTAGGATTCACAATCAGATGCTTATCGTTACCTAATGGAAACCTTTTGTGCAATGGTTTGCATTTTATTTTCTTAAATACATGCATTCATTTTCTTGTACGAGAGCAATTCGGAAATAAACCTCTGTTTGGTTATCAATAACAAACATTCGCAGGTATAGAACTTTTATTATACACATTGGAAAACTACAACATTACATTACTTTTTGACATAATTCCCATTCAAATTGAGGCACTTGTCGTAACAGCTTACAAGGTTTGAAATTCCTTAGTCGTTTGGTGCCAAATCTGGGCTATGGGGGGGGGGGGTGATCAAAAACATTCCAACGGAACTGCTTCAAAGGTTCTTGGGTGCATCTAGTGGTGTGTGGGCAAGCATTATCATGAACCAACACACCAGAAGTTGTGCCACAGAAAATCCCACCAAACGTGAAGATTCCAAAGGAGTACTTCTAGTGAAGTTCATGGAGCGTGGTTCAACCATCAATTCAGAAGTCTACTGTGACGAGCTATCCATAACAAGTGTCCGGGCACGCTGACTTCTGATGTGGTGTTAGTTCAAGATAATGCTCACCCACACACCGCTAGACGCATTCAAGAACTTTTGAAGCAGTTCATTGGAATGTTTTTAATCACCTCCCTCCCATAGCCTAGATTTGGCACTGGGCTACTACTGAGGAATTTCAAAGTTTGTAAGACATTATGGCAAGCGCCTCAATTTGAATAGCAATTATGTCAAAAAGTAATGTAATGTTGTATTTTTCCAATGTGTATAATAAAAGTTCTGTATCTGCAAGTGTCTGTCATTGATAACCAAACAGAGATTTATTTTCAAATTGCCCTCATACTTCTTCATTAAATTTATATACTTTTATTATATAAATTGCAGAATACAATTGCAGCTTGCAAGTAATTCAACACATATATACACAAAAATACTACTAATAAAAATATATATAAATTAAACCAAACAATAAAACAGGCATGTCAAACTCGCGACGTCACGTGATGTATCGGAGCTTTTACGCCATTGCCGGCAATGGGGTGGGCGCAGCTCCGGTATGATGAAACCAGCACGTGGGCTGGCAGTTTGACACCCCCGCAATAAAAAATATTCTTGTGAAAAGGATGCATCCATCTCCTTGTTTGGGAAAAAGGTGAAAATAGGCAGAAAAATCCCTATGGAAAACAGCTCAGGAATCATGGCTTGTTCCCCTAGGACTGCAAAACTAGATGGAGATAAGGGCGTTCAGATTTGCTGGTTCAAGCTTGGAAACTTGCTGAGTGATTTTGCCCTCGTCCCAACCTTTCAGCCCCGGTTATCCTATATTGTGGGCTATGGGATTAACTTTGGAGGAATGATTAAATTGAAACTCCTGGGAAAAAACTGTTTTTTTCTTGAGATATCCGTTCTCCCCCTCGTTAAGCTTTTCCAACTGGACGGTCCCACAAACTTTCGCCACTATCACAGGCACCAATCCAAATGACTTTCGGCCCCAGGGAGCAGAACCCTCCGCCAGCGAACTTGGGTGTCGTAACTGGGTCCCCGTCTAAGCGGCGGCACGCTAACAGGCAGAGGCTTCTCTTTTCCTCAGAGCCCTGGCTACCTTTTCCCCTCTAATGCCCCCGAACTTTCTGCCCCCACTCGCCAGCAAGCCTTCGAACCGCTCACCATGTAGAGCATATTGGAGGCAGAGGGCTTGACTTCGCTGCGGAACTTGTTGTGGATGTCGATGTATTGGTTGATAAAGGTACGGTTGGTGATGTCGGGCAAAGGTGCAAATTTACTTTTCGCTTCTCCGAGGAAGAGGACAGTCGCCAGCTCCGCCGCGCCCCACCACCAGAGGCTCCTCATGGTCGCGGCAACGACGAACTGGCGAGAAACTGCGCGCGCACTAACGGTCCTGCTGCAGCCGCCGTCGCGGAACTTGGTAGCCCGGCGCCCAGGATCTTCCCGAGGGGTGGTCAGCCAGGCTTGCAAACCTATGGGAAACGATTGCTTCAGTCTTCAGCGCCCTCCTCCTCCGTTAGGATTGCTAACCCTCTTCTGAATCGCATAAGGCTTATTTGGGAGTAAATTCTACCCTAGTCCGTGAAGTTTACTTCTCAGAAGTCATACCCTGGATTCCTCTGTTCAGTTTTTAATCCTAGGCAGGTTTAGCCAGCAGTCTCCTGGAAAGAACCCAAGGGTGGTTTTTTCTCAGATGAATAAATATACATTTTTTTATTAGTAGAAGTTATGTCTGGAAAATGGACAGCTTATTGCCTTTCTCTAAATATACTATTCTATTTTGAAAAAAAAATTCAGGATTTGTCAGATGAAGATCCACTGAATGTCAACAAATTATCTGCCTCCCATTATTGTCTTCTCATCTGCTCTGTGTGGGAGGCATTATTTTGGGTTAGGCCTGTAAAATGTGCTGGGTTTAGATCTCCATATATGTATGAATATGCATGTCATATTGAAACAAATCTAAGATGCTGTTGTAAAGTGGGAAAGAAATAGAATAACACAGAATAAAGAAGAATAAAGTATAATAATAATAATAATAATGAAAAAATCACTAAAAGCAAAAATCATGTGTCTGCATAATCTCTGAAAAGAAAGCTGTGTTAGCCAAAAGCTGTATTAACAGTACGTGGATGACCTAATGCATATTTAGAAACATTGTATAAAAATAAAAACTGCCTTCATTGTATTCCCATGAGAAATGGACCTAACGTGTGAGAAACTATCTGAATGTTACACAAAAGTAGATTCCATATACAATGTAAGATTCCATCTATGCTTCCTTTGTTCCTGAGAGAAAGAAACCTATAAAGCTTTAGTTTAGACCCTCCCCCTTGTTCAGAAATTTGCTGATTGTTAAGTCACTTCTGAACCTTTTTGCGCAAAAATAAAGATCTCTCTTTCACCCATGGAATTTCGTAAAAGCCCTTTATTTTTTTAAGGCTTTATTTTTCCACAAGATTTATGGCGACTTCTCCACTGGGACATTTTTAAGGGCTTTTAAGAAAAAGGATTTAACCTTCCAAGATGGATTTCCCTGGTGGGGCCCCCCCTCTCCTAAACGATGACAGTTCCAAAAGCCGGCTTCGTAGCTCTTGACTACGAGGAGACCTCGACGGAAGGAAAGGGAATTAACCCATCAGGAAGCATTCCAGTCTGAGGATCCGTGAGGGTGACAGACAGATCTTAAATCAACAAAGGAGTCTGGAAAACGCCTGCAGGCAAGTATTGTAAAACAGGGGAAATCTGATCCCTTTTGGATCGGAAGAGGGGACTGATCACCCCCTGAGAAGGCAAAGGTGGCGTCCTTAAGCCTTCAGTAGGCAGGATTGTGTGGGAGGTTAAACCATTGTAGCTCATGCTGAGTGATCAATGGTAGTGTATTAGAGGAATGGGTGGGAAAAAGTCAAAGGAGAGCATTGACCAGATGCCATTCCAGTGCATGTTAAATAATTTCAAAAAGGGTTTTTCTAGGGATTATGGAGATCCAAAACCAAATCCAGCCATGTTAAAAAGATTCTGTGAATCTGAGTGGACTGCCCTGGGCGTAGGGTGGCCAAAAATGGGATTGGCGAATCCCGAACTCGTTGCACGGGTTCATCAAATTATGACTGGAAATGGTTATTGGGACCAGTACCCCTATGGAAAATCAACATTGCACAGAGCCCAGATGGTTAGCAAAATGTCAGATAGAATGTGCAAAGATATATTTGGCAAGCCAAAAAGCCAAGCCTCAAACAAAAGCTAAGATTTTCAGCCAGGAAGATAGGGAGGAAATTGCCAGACCACCCCCCTATGTTCCTAGAAGAGAAGAAGGGAGAATAAACCAGCAAATTCCACTCCCTCTGCCTGAAAGAGAAGCCCAATTTCAGCCAGAAGCGGTGAGGAAGAAAAATTAGCAACAGCTGGATCCCTTCAAGAAACAGATAAAAGCTTGAATAACTTTGAAAATGAAAGCAAGACGTCAGTTTCTAGCCGCACCAGGAGCAAGTTAGAAATAAAAACAGAAGAAAATATAGCCCCTCTAAGAGAGGTGTTGGTTCCTGGACCAGATAACACTAATATTTCAATGCTACAATATGTTCTGTAACCGTGACAGAGAAGAGGAACGCAAACCAGATCAAAAAGAAAAAAGAAAGTTGAAATGTTAGCCGTGGCATTGGGAGGAACACGCCTAGGACCCAATCAGTGTGCCATCTGTAAACAAGAAGGACACTGGCAAAGGGAGTGCCCCCAGAGGAATGGCCAACCCAGGGGACAATCTCGCCAGTATGGGAAGAGGAAGAGGATTTAGAGGGACTTTCCAGAGAGGCTTCAGAAAGAGCTTCAAAGGAAGAGGGCATCCAGTTTATCCCAATCAGACAGAGGAAAGAGAAGAAAACATGATCGGCTTAGCTGACATGGAATGGGAAGACTGAAGAGGACAGGGTTCTATCGCCCCACCCCCAGAGCCCATTGTTAAAATACGGGTGGGAGGACAGTTGTCCCGATGCTAGTTGACACGGGAGCCACCAGATCTGTCCTAAATAAATCTATTGGCAAGCAATCAAATCCTTGTGGTAGCCGTATATTTAAAAATTCGCCAACGTGCTTTAATCAAGCCCTAGCCCAAGATCTTGCTTATCTGAAGTTATTCAGACAAGAGGATTGTTGCCTTCAATATGTCGATGTCTTAGTAACTGGCCAAAGCAGGGAGGATTGCTTTGAAAACACATCCAGACTGCTCCAATTGTTACAAGACTGTGGTTATAGAGCATCCAAAAAGAAAGCACAATTAATTCAAGAGACTGTAATGTATTTAGGCTATGAACTTTCACAAGGACAAAGAACTTTGGGCCCCCAGAGAAAGCAAGCTATGTTACAGATTCCCATCCCACAAACAAAACAGGAAGTTAGAGCCTTTTTGGGAATTACAGGCTTCTGTAGAATTTGGATTCCTAACTTTGCTCTCACAGCTAAACCATTATACCAAGCTTTAAGGGGACCAGAAAAAGAACCTCTGTTGTGGCAAGAGGAACAAACCCAAGCAATGAGACAATTGCAACAGGCTCTCACCACAGCCCCTGCCCTAGGACTACCTGATATATCTAAGCCTTTTTCACTTTATGTGGATGTAAGACAAAATGTAGCTTTAGGGGTCCTTACCCAAAAACAGGGAAGTTGGAACCGCCCTGTCGCTTATCTGTCAAAACACCTGGACATTTCTTCACAAGGCTGGCCCCAATGTTTAAAAATTCTAGCAGCAGTTATGCTATTACTGCAGGAGGCAAACAAGTTAACCTTTTCAGCTCCAGTGACTGTTTATACTAGTCATGCCTTGCAGACAATCATTGACAATAAAGGACATTTATGGATAAGTAATCAACGAATGCATAAAATACAGGCTCTTTTATTAGAAAATCCACAAGTTACACTGCAACAATGCTCAACTTTAAACCCAGCAACTCTAATGCCAATTCCTGATTCAACCAAACCTGTTCATGACTGCATGCAAACAATAGAACTACAATATTCTTGCAGACCTGACCTTACAGACCAACCCTTGCATAATCCAGACTATCAATGGTTTACTGATGGTTCTAGTTTTATGGATAAAGGATGTAGATACTCTGGTTACGCAGTAGTTTCTCAAACTTCTACTGTTGAGTCAGCACAGTTGCCTAGTCAAGCCAGGAGATAGAGTGTGGGTAAAGCACTGGAAATCAGATCCCTTGAGCCCAAGATGGAAAGGACCGTATACTGTTGTCATGTGTTCTCCTTTGGCAGTGAAAACCTTGGAAGGAAAGTCTTGGATCCATTGGAGTAGAATGAAAGCAGCAGCACCTGCAGATCCGGTGACCTACAAGGTGGACAAGACTGACAAGCCTTTGGTGTTGAAATTTACAAGAAATACAGCAACGGGTTCCCAAGACACGGTGTGATCAACAACCTTGCTGAGACACCCCAGGAAGCTGTCTCTCTACGCACGGTGGAAGATATGAGGATTCTACAGCTCATAATATTTGTTAATTATTTAATATGTACACACATTCCTACACAAAAATCAGTACAATGGCTTCACAAGAGGTTATAATGCAGAAACCCTCTAATAAAGAATTATTGAGTAGTACACACCAAGAAAGAGCAGAAACACAGGGAAACCAAGGTTGTCAAAACTGTATCAAAACTACAAAACAAGGAAACAGATAACCAAGACTTTGATTTACCATACAGTTAAACCAGAAGGGTGTCAAGATAGTTCTCCTGACTCTTGTACATACAATAGAACTACATATAAAGTTTGTAGAAAAGGTGTCCAATATCAGTCTTATAACCCAAAGTCTGATCCTGATTGTTGGGCCTTACAAATCAAAACACATAGAACAAGAACTAGCTATAAGGACCAGGCACTCTTAGGGATCTCCCAATGGAAATCCAATCCACACTCCAGTTTTAGCGTCACCTTTGATGTTTGCAAAGCAGCTAATTATTGGACTCCAATATATGGTTGCGGAGGGATCGGTAATATTCACAACTTTATCCCAAAACATAAGTACTTGTGCCCACCAGATGGATGTGCGGTCAAATGTAAGTGGTGGTCATGTATTAAGTGGCATACCCAAGACCCAAAAGAGATAGACCACATCTTGTTTGAAAAGAATGAAACAAAAGCAAATTCCTGTGGAACGGATAACTGTAATTTGGTGACTCTCACAGTCAAGAATGGCAGTTGATTCTTAGAACAAAATAGGTGGGAAAGTAAGAAATGGATGTTTGGGATAGGAATAGATACAAATGGCTATGACCCAATGTCAGAAATAGAAGTCAAAATTATAACTGCAACCAAAAGACCAGAACAAAAATCATTATTTTGGTCATATTATGAGGAAATGGAGAACCTACATATTCCTGAAGTACCTAGACATGTAACCAATACCTTTGTTAAGTTAGCAGAAGACATTGCCCATACTTTAGGCGTGTCTAACTGTTTTGTGTGTGGTGGAACAAACATGGGAGAAAGGTGGCCGTGGGAAGCACAAGAGTTAAATTATACCAAGGTACTGGAAATGTCTAAAAATAATAATTTAACCTATACAAGTGGGAAAGATGGTGATTGGGGTCTCACTTCCAACTTGGTAGGACATGTATGTTACTCAAGAAACAAAACAGAATCTTGTGTAGCAGTAGGTGACCTCCTATGCACAGGGACATGGGAAAATGATAAATGGTGGTCTGGAACCAATGAGACCACTGCTATGGATCTTGGAATTAACAAGGCTGCTATAACTATGAAGGTTTATAGGCCTGAAAGTTTTGTTAATTCTAGGATGTATTTTAATTCCTTGCTTGATCCCCTGTCTTATAGCCATGATTCGGAGGATCTCAGAAAGTACAGCCCAATTAACAGCAAAACATGAAACAATGTTAGCCTTATGGGAATATAAAATGGTACCTTCAGGAGATCCGGAATCAGAGGTAGAATAATGGAAGTTTAAGCTGGAAAACTTCCAAAAGGGGGGAGTAAAGTGGGAAAGAAATAGAATAACATAGAATAAAGAAGAATAAAGTAAAATAATAATAATAATAATGAAAAATCACTAAAAGCAAAAATC